CTAACTTTCCATTGTATGTTTTCCTAACATTTATTCTTCATGAAGGACCAGATATTTAGCTGGTTTTGGGATGCCCATGGCTACCCTCCTACAACATTCGGCATGAATATCGATAGATATTCCACCATTCCCAGGAATCTTAAGAATCCTGTGTGGTCTACTGGCTCTTGCCAGTTGCAGATTTTTTCCATTTTATCTGCTTGAGCGTGGATGCCTTGTTCATCCATGTGGCTTCCTAGAACGTCTAGGATTGGAGCAAACAGCTGGAATTTCTTCCGGCTTATGTAGAACTTCACCCCCTTGAGGTGAGGGAATAACCACAATAGTGCTTTATTGTGGTTCTTCACCAAGCTTGTGCTGGTAATATCATCGAACCAGACATGTAGATGTTGTAGGAGAAATAACGGTCACCCTATGAAAACTCATTATGGAAATATGCCAGAAAAATCACAAAAACCCCCATATGACAAGTAGAATAGAAGAACCTGAATTTTCATGAATTCTTACGAATTATTATGACTACATATGACAAATACGAAGAAAGAAAATTAATAAAAATACTTCAAGCTTAGCATCAACAAGACAGAATGCTCGGGAGACTTTATAGCGAATATCAAACAAGGAACTAGGTCAATCAAGTAAGATTTGACTATAAAATCAACCAGAAAACCTCCACAGAAACTACTTTCCCACGTCCGCACATGTAGCTGAGGCTGGCAGAACAAGGATTCCGTAGGAACCAATGCAAAACTCAAAGTTGTGTTTATAATAGGGAATGTAGATGTCTCCAAAATAGACTCAATAAAGGTAAGTTCAGGGAAAACTACTGATAGATGATGGAGAAATGACCGAAATTTGCAGGAAATGAGGACAACATTCAAAAGGAAAGCGCAAAGAACAACCAGTAATGACCGAGACAAGTTTGATAGCCCATTAGAAAGGAAAAGCTCCATTTTTAATCCACGCAAATTTTCATAATAAAAGGTTCATGCATCAATAAGATATTCATTAATGGAATGAGCAACATTAAAGTCATAGCTCAGGGAAAAGTCGACGTTCACGCAAAATCCATATTTAAAACACATAACGAAATTTAAATGGAAAATATGATAAATTAGAAACTACCACTGTGCGAAGTTTCAGGCCAAACGGCCCACCCATTGTGAAGTTATGCCAGCAACAGGAATAGAGTATTCCGCACTATGCTTGAAGACATGTGAGGGTGGCAATGCGAAGGTGTCATATCCATACAACTCTGGACCTCCACTCCTGTTTCTGGACCTCCATCTCCTCCTCCAGAACTCCACATCCTCCACCACCTCCTCCCCCTGTTGGTTGTTGAGAGCCCACTCTGCCTCTGGCTCCAACACAACGTCCAACACTACCTCCGATCCGACTCCAGTTTACCCGAGTCCGATCCCAACCTTGTACCTTCCAGACCAGAGTTTGTGATGCTCCACACCTCCGGCTCTGGACTCCTGTACTGGAACCCCATCACACCTCCACCTCTGGAACACCAGTCACATCTCCGCCTCTGGACTTTGACCTCCTCCTCTGTCTTATCTCCTTGTATTCCTTATTACATTTCATTTATTACGTTTGCCAATATTCCGGACTTAGACTTCCGACTCCGGACCTCTGGAACTTACTCTGGACCCTGCAGTCTCTACTGTATGGTGTCATTTAATCCTCTTGTTGCCTCTTCCTTATTTAGACAGCTGCTTCCTTTCCATATTAGTCAGCTGTCATTCCCCACAACCCCCTCCACTCCTTCCCCTCTTGGCCTTGCCCTTTTGGGAAGCACCATAGAGTCCCACCCCTTGACCCTTGGGGTTGTTCCCTCATCCAGTCCCCCTTTGTCCTCCTTCCTGTTCTCTGACTCCACTCCTGTATCGTTATATATATACTCTGTACTTAGTTTCCTGTACCCCCAGTCTGAAATCGACGACCATGATGACTGGATTGTCCCCCCAAGAGACTCCCCCTGCTAACCTGAAATTAAGGACCACCTTAGACAACAAGCAACAGCACAGCGCTCCACCTGAGTCACCGAGGCCAAGGTCCCTTCATTCCTGAGTCCCTTCTCCACTTCTGGACAACTCCATGCTCCTCTAACAGAAGGGAACCAGCCATCGGAACCGAGATCCACACTTTGGGAGATTGTGAAGACCAATTTCTGTCTGAATAAGGAAAACTCCGGTCAAAACAAAGCACAGAGAACACAAAAACACCTTAGATCATGAGGGAAAAATCTGAAATAAATCAAGGAAGCCTGTATTGAGGATACAAACACTCACACATACAATAAATCCTGAATGATTAAACAGAAATGGTGCCCACATACAGATGAGTACGAGAACAACACACATGATTACCGATTGTCAAAAACCCATCGGTTATGGAAGAAGGGGTGAATGCGTGAGTCCGAATGCAGGCGGGGGCTCAACTAGAGGGGGGTCCGAGGGCTCCGGTGATGAACCGAAGCTCCTCAGGGAGCCCGGTTCTGCTGGATGGTACAAGAGGCTCTAAGAAGGACGCAGCCTCAGCGACTCGGAGGGAGCGCTGTGCCTCCATTACGTCTCTGTTAGTCCTTGTATTTCTTATGTCTGAGGTGTCTTGTAGAACGGAGACAGGAATCACTCAGAGGGACTTTGGGTGGCATTTTAGTCGAGATTAGAACTCAGGAACTACAGGTTCTAATCTACGTGTATTTATAAAAGTGGATGGGGAGGACTTTAGTCAAAGCCCGAAATGACAAAACGGGGAAAACACCGAAAGGTACCGAATGATACCGAGAGGTACCGAAAGGTTCCAAACGATATCTAAAACGGGGAACCGAGGTGTCGGGCCAAGGAGGGCGGAGTTGGAGGCCGGAAAATGGATGGGGAAGACAAATGGGGAAGGGAGGTTAGCCGACTGAATGGTAGTAAGAAGGTAGTCGTGCTAAGGATGGAAGATGACTAATAAGTGATAGCGTGAAGGAGATCACCGAGGGATACGGTTAGCTCCGAAAGCGGAGTTGCGTGTCCGAAGGATGTTGGGTGACTCCAATAAATGAAGTGGGCGAGGGAATGGTTTAAGGGCATGTCACGGGATGTCGGAGGTCCGTCAGGATATCGGAGCAAATCCGGGGTCTCCGAATGTTCCGACTCGGGACCGAGGTTCCGGGATGGGAGTAGCCAAGGTTCGGTGTGCCGCGACCAGACCGGAGCTGAGACAGCCAGGAGGGAAGGTGATTTGGAGAGTGGGGAGGCATGGTGTAGGGGATGGTGAAGTTGTTAGGAAGGTGTGATGTGGTGGGAGTGTGCAGGGTCGGTATTCCGGGATATGACATCGGCCGCTTTTTTGACCGCCTTGTGCCTCACCCGCTCATTCAGCTTTGCCTGCATCATGGCAGGCTCATCGTCCATCGCCTCCTGGATGTCCTCCTCCTCCCAGGACGCGATGTTGTGCAGTTCAAGAGTTTTGGACATAGAGGCGGGGTAATTGAGTAAGTCTGATGGTTAATGACTGGATTTGATCAAAGGATGCTTGGTTTTCACACGCGGATTCAAAATTCGGAATTGGCCGAACGATTCCCATGTGTACCAATTGGGTCTCCAGGGGCATCGGCCCTAAGAAGGGGATACTGTCACAACCCGACATACCTGCCACTTCCATCTACGCGTCCTAGTGCCACTTGGCCTGTCCCTCCCACTATCATCATCATCCATCCACCCATCCGTCCACCCATCACCCTCACCCGCACTTCCTCCCTCGCATGCATACCTTCCAACCTAGGTTGCCCACTTCATTGTTGTCCGCTCGCCAGCCGGACGGCTTGCTAGACGGCCGGATGGTTCTTTCTCTTTTGTCCGCTTGCGGACTATTGTTCTTCCTTTTGTTTCTTGCTTTCCTTTTGTTGACCAAGTTTGCCGATATTAACTATTTGTTTCTTCCTTCATTCATTAATATCGTGCTTGATCTGCCACTCCTTCCGGGCCAGTCTCATTTAGTTACTTGTGTTTATAATGCATGTAGGTTACACCGGATGTACCTCAGTTCATATATCGACTTGGATTCCCCCTCTAAACTCTTATCCTCATCATAAGGCTTCTGTCTGAAATTGGGACACCAACGTAAGAACGAAGCGCAGCGCTCCACCTGAGTCACTGAAGTTAAAGTCCTGCCCCTCTGACCTTACGAGCCCGGACGACCTTGCGCACCTCACGGGTCACCCGGAGAAAGTGCAGATGAGGGTGATGGATGGATGGGTGGATGGACAGATGATGATGGCAGTCAGCGGGATGGGCCAAGTGGCACTCAGACACATTGATGGAAGTGATGGATATGCTGGGTCATGACACACAGTAGGACTATGCCCTGGACAGGGCTGCTTACAGGATAGGCTGTGGGCCATAGAGAGGGGTCATGGGGACCCAGGGATCGTCCCCTGACACCAACTGACCTTCCTTCATTCTCTCCTTCAGTGTCAGCATATCTTTCAGTGGATTGTAGTACATACTGGGAGACTGTCATTGAGCTGAAAGTGTCCAATGTGTAGCATGATTTGAATGGTTCAGAAATTTCGGTTGCCACATCCCACTAGAAAGGTTGCTTCGCAACCATGACCTTGCTTGCACATCACATGACCCTACCCTCTTCCGTCATCCTCCATTGATAGAATGCATATTAGACCATGTGTGGTTGAATCAGAAGTAGAGATCTCAGCATTGCAGTCTAGTAATCATGTCTTTCACAGCAGTTTTCACACATATAATAATTGTTCTGAGTTGAATCAGTGTTTTAGGTGACATCAATAACACTAGGACAAATGCTGAAAATACTACGAAATTACTTATAACAGGAGGGAACAGAAGGGATGATTAATTTGCAGTGAACACATCGACAGAGCTTTTCTCAAGCTTTCGGCATTTTACAGGTGAAAAAGATGGACCTGAGAACTGGCACTTCAAGGGGGATCCATTGTTAGTGTGAGAGCTGACAAGAGGGGTTGGGGGTCAGAGGACAATAATCTCCTCGATGCATGTGGAGAAGGTCGCCTTTTTGCCCTCTGAGCTTCCAATTAAGTGGCAGGCATTGGTGAAAGAAATCTGCACAGTCACTCCTGGGAGAGTGCTTGCATGATCTGTTGGTGGGATGACTCCATCTCCTTCATGATACACACGTAAAGGATTGGTTTGCCATCTTGAACATCTTGTCATGCATGGGGACATTTTCCTGTGATACAGGCCAATGCTGTAAGCCAAATTCGGGAGCCAAGAAGCCGTCAACTACCACAAAACATGGTCAGCTCGCAAGTGATTAATGGAACGAACCTGAATCATCATCACCATCAGTGCTGTCATCGCCATCGTCATTGTTATAATCTTCCGGCAATGCCGCATTTGCAATTTTTTTACTTAATGAAATGCTAGTGTGTTACCAATGAAGATACTCACCTTTGCCTTTGTTTTCTGGGGTGCATGGCTCTGTTGGTGTTGTGCTGGGCCCTTTTTCCACCTCAGGATGTTCAGTCTCTCTTGAAGTTTCCGCAGTTTTGTCCTGAAGGACTCAAGGACTGTCTGCTGTGGCTGTTGAGTTGTGGCTTGTCTGAGTATGGATTATGTACTTACTTGCATTAGCAAATCTTAATGCAACTGCATGATTGCCTGGAGTAAGCTTGTATCGTGTTTTGGACTTGGCTATTATGTGGAGTCAGTTGCACATCAGACTTAGATAGCTACATGTACTCTCATACTCCTGCTGAGGAGTAGCCAGAAAACGAATATTATCCCAGCACGACTATAAGATAGCTTTCTCAGCGACTAAAGCAATATAACCAAATATGGAACTTCAAACATTCTATGAATCACCTTGATCTGAGGTGCATTTGCACCCTCCTCATTGACTAAGGAGTAATGGTGATGAGTACCACCCAGCATTAGGTTCTTGATGTATGTGGGGAAATCTTCGTATCCCAGCAAGCTTTCATCCATGATTCTTTCAAGTTGCGCCCATGCATTTGTTCTGGCCATCACCTCTTGGAGTGAGATATGGCCAAAATAGATCATCGCAGTCGATTGCTGAAATCCGCCATCTGGGACTAACTTGAATGGATGTCAGGAAACAGAGAATATGCTGTGGAAGGTGGCTGGTGTTGGGTTTAGCACTGACCTATCGGCACCCTTAGCACAGAGAACATGGCAGTGGCGAGCCTTTGCATATATCCATTCAACTTTAGATGTGATGTTCAGGCCCCCAAGGTATAGACCAGCAAGACACTGATGGAGCTCGTTGTTGGTGGAAAGAGAGGTCATCAAGAAAGGCCACAATAATCATCACTGAGAGGTGGGGGAAGTGGCAAAGTTAGTTGTTAGACCTTATTATACTCTGTTGCATGTCAAATGAGCATGTACTATGAGTATACTATTGGTGACACAGTACTTGCTCTGTGATACATGCTATTGAAAAGGTGACTGAATGAGGATTAGAGCAAGAGTGGGATGAAATAATGGAACGAACTTGGAGTCGAGCAATACCAATATGAATTTGATACCATTTATGGCAGGGTTAGGGTACCTCAGAAGTTTTGATGACCACACATGCGCTGGCTGGGCTACATGCGATGAGATCATTAAAAATGAGGGATCAGTTGAAGCATCATTGAGAGTGAATAGCACTAGTGACAAATGTGGCACAAAGTATGAGATAGGTTTCAGCAACCAGTCAAAGGTTCTGTCATATCCATACCAACTCCGCCCAACCTCCGACCTACTCCACTAATGTTCCAGTTCACTTCCAGTTTGTCCTCCCCCTCACCTCTGCCATTCCCTCCAGCATACTTCCGGTCCATCTCTGCCTCTGATCTCCGGTACCTTCCCCAGTACCCCGTATCCTCATCATAGAAGACTATTAATATTTCTATCTACCCAACATTACTATGGACCTCCTAGGACCTCCACCAACCCTGAAAGGTTTTCCCATTACCCAATAGCTGTTGCTAATTCCACCCTTCACTTACCCACTCCACAGTGCTCGATAAGGCAATTCTCTCATGAGCTCACCAACCCAGCAAGTGGGTAAGTCCTTCTTGGGTTTTCCCTTTCTTTTATTTGTCCTGTATTATGTATATAGGCCATGTGTCATATCCCGGAATCCCAACCCCATACTCTCCCACCTCATTACACCTTCCTAACAACCTCATCACCCCCTACACCATACCTCCCCACTTCCCAACATCACCTTCCATCCCCACTGTCTCAGCTCCGGCCTGGACTTCAGCACACTCGCCCTTGGGAACTCCCATCCCAGAACCTCAGTCCTGAGTTGGAACATTCGGAACCTCCGGATTTGCTCGGACCTCCTGACGGACCTCCAACATCTTGTTCCATACTTCTAAACCATTCCACCACCCATTTCATTTAGTGGAGTCACCCAATATCCTTCAGATATGTAACTCCGGCTTCGGAGCTACCCACATCCTCCAGTGATCCCACTCACGTCATCTTAAATTAGTCACCTTCCATTTGTAGTACGACTGTTGTCTTCTTTCCATTCAGTCGGCTAACTTCCCCTTACCCACTTCTCATTCCCATTTATCCTCCAGCCTTCTCCTCCACCCTCCTCGACCTGACACCTTGGTTCCCTGTTAAAGATATCGTTCAGTACCTTTCGGTATCTGTTATAGGAATGGACCAGAATCTTATGGTCCATGGTTACAAGCAGGTAGAACCAGGTATGCCTCCTTATTGTTTTCCCCTATTTCTCTACCCAAACCCCATGCCAAGCTTTCCCACTGGGTTTTGGTGCTGGCTGGGGGAATTGTTGAATTTCAAGGGACTCCCCTTGACCATTACAACTTTTATATTAGATATAAACTAGTCATATGACACGTAAAGGCAAATGCCGAAAGAGGTCTTTCTTCATCTAATACATAACCCACAAAACCTTGTACCACGATTGTAACTGCCACACCATTGTGCCACCACTGTAAGCCTTCTCTGTAACATCTGACTTGGTCCATATCGATGTCTACATCGATATTCTTACAATCTGTGAGAAAACCTCAACGGCCCAGTGAGTGCTCAGACACCGGACCTCACCCTTCCTGCTCCCACCCCCCCACTGGGTGGTTGAGCTCCCATTCCTACCCTTCCTGTAGTACCCTACTGGGTCCTACAACCCTTCCTCCCTTCTTGGGAGGGAGAAGTGACTCAGGCAGCCCCAGGATGCCTGGCCACGTACCCGTGGGCCCAAATTCCCACGGTCATTCACTACCGTGCACTGGTCAACCAACCTGCCTGTCCCAACAAATCCCGCTACCGGTATGCTCCCCTGAGTGCCAAGTAACCGATAGTCAACCACTGGGCTACTCCCTCAAGGAGTGCCAACTACCCATGCTACCGGTACGCTCACATGAGCGCCAAGTCACCGCTAGCCGACTGTTAGGTGGCTCCCTCAAGGAGCCCCCACTATACCCGCTCCCGGTACGCTCCTTGGAGTGCCAAGTCACCGTTAGCAGACCACCACACCCGCTGCCGGTATGCTCCTCGGAGTGCCAAGTTACCGTTAGCCCACCTGGCCTTGGATCTCCTGCTCTCCCCTCAACGGCTACACAGCCACCTCCGTCTGTGAGCAGAATGGCTCAGGTTGGGTTCCCCAGAACCCATTCCTGTAACAGTATCATTCAGTACCCTTCAGTGTTTGTTGGTATCACTTGGACTTTGACTAAAGTCCTTTTCCTCCTCCCTCTATATATACTTGTAGATTAGAACCTGTTGTACCTCAGTTCTAATCTCGACTAAAATTACCCCAAGTCCCTCTATGAGTGAATCCTGACCCCCTCCTACAAGATACCTCAGACACATGAAATAAAAGGACTAACTGACACGTAACAGAGGCACAGCGCTCCCTCTGAGTCGCTGAGGCCATGTCCTTCTTAGAGCCTCTTGTACCACCCAGCAGACTCAGGCTTCTGGAGAAGCTTCGGTTCACTACCAGAGCTCTCGGAACCCCTCTAGTTGAGCCCCACCTGCATTCGGATTCATGCCCCCTGCAGGGTTTTTGACACCATGTACCATAGTTGATGGCACTTCAGTGCAAAATCGATGACTAGATCCCCCAAGAGTTTGTGCCCCCCTGTTCTGAAGTTAAGGACCCAACAGCAAGTGTAATCGAACGTTGGCACAGCGCTCCCCTCCGAGTCGCTGAGGCCATGGTCCCTCCGCTCGTCCTCTACCTCCGGCCTCCCTTCCAGGGAAAGGTCCAGACATGCTTGTTCCCTCTTGCCATGTTCTGACAGGTTCATCCAGAGTGAATCACAGCAGTGATGGAACTGGTATAAAGTATGGTGGTGTCATATCCATACAATCCCAACCTCTGCTCCGGGCTCCCGGAACTCCGAACTCCGACTTCCGGAGCCCTACTTCCCTTCCGTCACCTTCTCCTTGCCGACTCCCAAGAGGTTATCCCACCTCCGGCTTGGACACCACCTTCGGTCCGACTCCGGAACATTCCGGGTCTGACCCCAACCTCGACACCTTCCAGACGAGTACGCAACACCTATGCTCCCGACTCCGGACCTCCGCTCCGGAATCCCGTTTGCATCTCTGTCTCCGGAACCTCCGGTCTTAGCTCTGACCTCGGACTTTGACCCCACCTCCACTTATACCCATTGTATTGGTTAGCTCATTCCATTTAATTATGTTTGCCAATATTCCGGAGTTTAACCTCCGAGTTCGGACTTTCCGGACTTACTCCGGACCTTGCAACTATTGCATTGTCCATTTCAATCCCGCTATTCTCCCTCATTCCTATTTGGGCTGCTGCTTCCTTTCTATTCAGTCAGCTAGCCATTCCCCACTCCCAACCTCCTTCCTTCCTCCTTGGGCCCTGGCCCTTCATTCCTCCTTTGGGAAACACCATTGAGTCAAACACTTGACCCTAGGTGTTGTTCCTCTTTCCATCTCCCTTTGTCTCCTTTCATCCTACCCTTGTTCCTTTTGATTCCGGACCCCTCCTTATATACAATGTACCTAGTAACTTGTAACCTCAGTCCGAAATCAACTTGAATTCCCCCCAAGAGACTTTCCCTCTGCTAGATCCGAAATTAGGGACCCCTAGGACAACCAGCAATGGCACAGCGCTCCGCATGAGTCGCTGAGGCCAAGGTCCTTCCATAATAAGTCTCCGATTCCATTCCGGAGTCGTCCGAATCCCCGCATTCTAACAGGTGGGAGGAAACTAGTAAAAATTGGGATGAAACTGAGCAGTCCTGTCAGAGAACGTCATAGAGGAGATTATATAAGTGACAGACCCAATGTTGCCACAAATGTGCCTTGATTGCACCGGTGATTTAAATCCAATAAACTAATAACTGTGAATGACAGGTGTTTGGAATCAGACAAAGCATTGTCAAGACTTATTTCTACTAGTGATGGACCTGATACAAAGTATGGTGGGAGGAAACTAGTCAAAATCAGGATGAAAGCTGTCAGAGAACATAGAAGAGATTTGTAAGTGACGTACCTGAATGGTAGCCTTGATTGTGTTGGTGAATAAACTAATAAGTATGAATGATAGGTTTCAGGAATTTGCTGAAGCATCTTGAAGAGTCAATTGCATTAGTGGAAACTAGTCCAGATGGGGATATGAGAGAATGGACCTGTCAGAGAACATTGTCGAAAGTGACTGATCCAATAGACATTCATTGGCATAGTTACTCACTTGGCACTTAGTCATTGGGGCAACTCTTTCGACTACACAATGATGGACTGGCTTTCGCCATTGACACTGGCAGAAATCATTGCAATCTGCAAAGAGTATCAGATCTACATGTCAGATGCGGCTCGAAGGAAGCACGAGAAGATGGTGTCTTTGATCCAAACCTTTCATGAGGATCCTCAAGTTATCTTTGAGCAACATCATGATTGCAAAAGAATGCACCTTTGCCAAATAAGAGAAAATCAGACTTGCCAGTTCAAGGACCAAGGAAGAAAATGAAGAACTCTGGACCAAGTGCCAGCATCAATGGTGATGATACCATGGACAAGTCAGATGAAATAACACTCCCCTCCATAGTCAATGATAATCACATCACTGCCTCTCCTGAGTTCCTCCATATAATCATCCCAGACTGAGCTTCGAGATTGCCAAGGAGAGTTCTTACAAGCTATCTCACCTTCAGCAGTTCAAGAGGCTGTTTGCACTGTGTGTGCATGACTCTGCTGGGAACATAAGTGCAGTGTGTCAGGAATATTCCAAATGCGGGCCGTTTACAACCAGCAGATTAGGACAGACATCCAGCTCAGGTCTTTATTGCTGGCATGCTACTAGAGGAGAAGGGAGTCATCAAGGTCAAAGGGAAATGTAGTGCAATTTTGTGTGGAGCCTGTCTTCAAGATCTTCATCATGATAAAATACTGCGGTATTCCCTATCAAACAAAATGTGGATAGGCAATATACCTCATCTGTCATATCCATACATACCTGATCCCGATCCGACTCCTGGACCCTCCACTTCACCACCTCTGGAGTCCTACCTACCCCCGTTCGCTCCGACAGCCACCTTTGGACCAAACATAACCCCTTTCGCCACCCTCCTCCTCTTACTCCTCCTCACTCCTCATGTTACCTCCACCCTCACATCCCTCTCCTACCTATCTCCGTTTGCTCTGACATCCACCTTCGGACTGAACATCACTCCTCTCTCCACCCTCCTCACTCCTCCACCCTCACATCCTTCTCTTACCCTATCTCTGTCTGCTCCAATGATCACCGTTGGACCTGACATCATTCCTCCTCTTATCTCTCCTTCTCGTTCCTCTCACTCCTCTCTTTCCATCTCTCTTCTGCCAAACCTCCAGCAAGTTACAACCTTCTGCTGCAGCCCCATACCTTGTACTTGGACACCACTTGTACCTTTGCTCCGAGATTCCATCATAGTTCCGACCTCGGACTTTGACTCCACCTCAGCTTAAGTCCATTGCATTGGTGACCTCATTCTACGTAAACACCATTGCCAACATTCCTTGGACTTTCAATCCTGCCTCTGCAACCTCTGTAAGCTCCACAACCTCTGAGCTCCATGGATCATACCTGGCACTTTTGCCACTTGTAATGTATCTTTTGCGCTTTTCCCTCATCCTTATTTGGACTGCTGCTTCTCCCCATTTTAGCCAGTTAGTCATCATCCCCACTTCACCTCATCCTCCTGCCCCTCTGGGCTTCACCCTCCCTATCTCCTTTTGGATGTACCACAGGTTCTGACCTATGACCTTCAGTGCCACTCCACTTCCGTCATCCCTTTGTCCCCATTTGGATGCCTTTGTTCCGATTCAGACCCCTTTTATTTCCATGTGCTTTCGCCTCTCTCCATTATATACAGGCGCTTGTACATACTTGTTTTAGGCCCTTAGTCTAAAATCGACCTGAAATGCCCCCTAGAGACTTCCTGCTCACTGCTTCTGAAATTAAGGACCAAATGGACAAACAGCAATGGCACAGCACTCCGCATGAGTTGCTGAGGCCAAGGTCCCTCCTTGCTAAGTCTCCGGTTCCCCTCCAGAATCGTCCACCCTTGCCCAGTTCTAACACTCATCAGCTCTCTTGCCTCACAATTCCTGAACAGCTCTTACTTTCACCCATTTATCCCCACTGTTTCATTTTCAAAATGTACCCCAAAGGCAGAGCCCAGGATGATCCCACATGCTTACAGTCAGGCTTGCATGGAAATGTGACAAGTTACCCTATGAACACTGACAAAATTTTCAGTATGCTCCAAGGACACATGTTGTCAGAGACCAGGTCCGGGATGAAGATGATGTCCCTGTGGGGGGGGGGGTTTCAGCCTCAGCGACTAAACCAGGAGCGCTGTGCCTAGTTACATGTCCATGCCCTGATTTACTAACTGGCAAGGATTCTAGAAGAGGGGAAACTCTAGTCGATTTTATCACTGGGGTGTAACCTATCTACAAGTCATGTATATGAATGGTGGAACCGAGCGGAGTGGAGCTAACAGAGTTATAGGTTAGCCGACTGAATATTACCAATGAGTTGGGTTATGGGTTTAGCAGAGTAATGGGCTATAACCCAGGAATGGAAAGGAGGGATTGGCCCGAAGGTAAACTTGCAGGGCAAGCAACTAAATTGCCAGCAGAGGTGGGGGTGCACTAGTGGACGTTGGAGCTGCCCAGAGGCCTTCAGGGCTCCATACTTAGGGAGGCATAGGTAATATATTGAATTGAAGGGGTGGTGACCATTGGGGGTGTTGGAGGGGATCACAGAATATGGAGGCTCCAAGGTTAGTGATGAAGGAGTGGAGGTAATCCGGAAGGACTGGAGGTGATGGCCGTGGATGGATATGACACATGTTGCCATGGTGTCAGGGCACGCCACACCCCTCTCCCTCTCCTTCTTTCTCCCCCTTTCTCCTTCTTCCTTTCTTTCTCTCCTTTCTCTCCTTCCCCTCTATCCTTATATGGATGACTTCTCCTTTTTCCACATCTGTAGCACAGATGTGTCTGACACCGATCACCCTGCACAGGCACCATGACGCTGGACATGCTGCACATTCTTACTTATGTTTTCTTCTCTGACACTTGGGATCGACTGCAGAGCCACCTGTGACAACCCGGCTTTGTCTGGGGCTGACGTTGTTGTGGGGACAAGTCCGTGCAGGTCAAACCAACCCTTATCACGCATTTCACCCCCTACTGCATCAGGGACTAGGATTGGTGAGTCATGGTAATAGTAGGAGTTGTAGATACTGTGGAGGTGGTTCTGACGAGTCCAAGATCGTCGGATTTGGTGGAGTGGTTGAGGAGATATGACCTTTTCTTTATTTTCCTTATTATTTTCATTCATTCACACATGTGACTTTCCTTTTATATTTGTATTGGACTCTTCCATGACAACTGTACAGACAGTTAGTTAGAGGTTAGAGAGAGTATCAGCACCGTACTCAAGGACCATACCTACCTGAGAGATAGAGAGAGAGACCTACCCCCCCTAGACCTGAGCCACGAGTCTAGATTCATAGACCCGTTACAACGTGGCACCTCCATGTGACCCGTTCTCACATGTATATAAACTTAGCTGAAGCAGGACCAAAGAAGCAGCCTTCTTCTCATTCCCGCTTCAGGCAAGTGGCCCAACCTAGTTTAGCTTTTCATCCCAATGACAGACAATACATTCCTGCTTCAGCCTAAGAAGCCACACAGGGACACAAGCCCAAGTGAGGGCTGCCCACCATACAGTCTCACCGCCCCACCACCATCTGGGCTGTTAGCACCAAGCGCTACACTGCTACCCCTGCCTCTCTAGAGCCATCCCTGACACATGGCCAATGGAGATACTTCCCTCGATTATATCAGTGACATATGTTGGAGTCAGCAATCTCCCAAAGCATTGGCTTGAATTGACATTTCACATTTGGAGAAGGGTAGTGTTGGAGGCGCTTGAATGGTTGATTGAGCATACATCTCCAAGTATACTGTAGACCAAGTGGTAATGGCATCTTTACCTGAAGACAATGTGCCTCTTGAGATTGTGAGTTTACAGCACAAATCATATATGCTTGAATCTCGCCTTCTTGTTTGGTATAGTCAGTGATGACCATGGCGACATTAGTGAGAGGGCTGAACCACCTAACAAGCAGTATGGTGTGTCCGATGCTCAATATTTCGATACAAAACTTACCAGAATGTTAGATGAAGGGGACATTGTTCCATTACAGTATATTGGCAGTAGCCAAACTGAGCTCACAGCAGTATCCACATCCAATCTACTTGAAGAGGGACTCACCATGTCAAAACATGATGATCCTGGGTGCAGATGGGGCTCAACTAGGGGGTTCCGAGAGCTCTGGTAGTGAACCGAAGCTTCTCTAGGAAGACTGGGTCTGCAGGCTAATACAAGAGGCTCTTAGAAGGATGTGGCCTCAGCGACTTGGAGGGGAGCACTGTGCCTCTGTTATGTCTTAGTTTCAGATGTCTGAGGTATCTTGTAAGAGGGGAACATGAATCACTCATAGGGGTGGGGGTGAGGTTTTAGTTGAAATTAGAACTAAGGTACAACAGGTTCTAATCTACAGGTATATATAATAAGGTGGAGGAGGAGGACTTTAGTCAAAGTCCAAAAGATACTGAAAGGTTCTGAAAGTTATCTTTAATGGGGAACTGAGGTGTCAGGTCGAGGGAGGCAGAGTTGAAGGCCAGAGGATAAATGGGAATGAGAAATGGGTCAGCTGACTGAATGGAAAGAAGATGTTGTAGGTGGGATAACCTACTATACTTTACACTGCCGGTATTTTCGTGGTTTACATTCCTTTTGGGTTCTCATGCCCACCACTCAGTCAAATCTCAACCATTTGGGACAAATTTGGTATCAGGAGAAAGCTACGAACCCGGGGGATCGAATGGAGAGGTCGGAAAGGGATGCTATGGGTAGGAAGAGACGCATGAGTGTGGTGTGATGGTGGAAATTGGTGGAGGATGGCAATTATTAGCAGATATGGCCTGCTTATCACTCCTGTTTTTCTTTATTTGAACTTCCACATCGGCCGTTGGACTTATCGGCCATACCTAACGGTCCACATGGTGCCTGTAACAACAATCATTCGTTTTATATTTTCTTTTCATTTGTTTTTCCACATTATTGCTGTCCCATGTGTTCAAAAGCCTTGTACATGTAGGAATGGAAAAGAGACCTCCCTTTTGACTACAAAGAGACTGTAGTGCTGAGAGATCCAAGTAGAGAAAGAAACCCTAAGCTTGACTCCTTGAGTATTATAAGGAATCCCTGACAATTGTCCAAGACAGACCAGGGGTACGTAATTCTTAAAGAGTTTTTGTGATTGCTTTTGTTTTGTTAGCACCCAGACCGAACCCAGGATGAGTGTCAGGGACCGGATGTGGGACAAAGGAAGCGTCCCCATGGCGGAGGGCTTTGGCCTCAGTGACTTAGACCAGGAGTGCTGTGCCCAGTTACATGTCTGTGCCCTAATTTACTAACTGGCAACAAGAACTTGAAAGAGGGGAACTCTAGTCGATTTTATCACTAGGGTGTAACCTATCTACAAGTTATGTATATATAGTTACATAGAGGGTGGGCCCATGAATGGTGTCATATCCATACAATCCTGACCTCCGTTCCAGGCTCCCGGAACTCCGAACCTGACTTCCAGAGTCCTGCTTCCCTTCTGCCACCTCCTTGCCAACTTCCAAGAGGTTATCCCACCTCCGGCTCCGACACCACCTTCGGTCTGACTCCGGAACATTCCAGGTCCGACCTCAACCTCAACACCTTCCAGACGAGCATGCAACACCTATGCTCCC